GTGCCAGCCATGATCGATATCGCGCGGCAACAAGCTGCCCCAACTGCGCGACCTGTCCTGGAGTGTCGAGAGTTGAACGAGAATGAGTTAAAATTAAGTAGGGCCTAGGCTTAGTAGCCTAGGCCCAAGTAGGATATCGAGCGGGTTTCTCCTAGGCGAGGTATCGAGAGAGTTGGAAGAGAAGTTGGGAGAATGGGTTTCACTATAGGTTTCAAGGAACATATAGCATAGGAGACAAAGTTGGTGCACCACCTACAAAGCACAATAACTACACTACAACTACAAGCAGTTATAAAATATGACAAACATATTTCGACACGCCCCCATAATGCTTGTAGGTAGAAATGTAGTTACCCCCCTGAGGGGGTACACCATGCAAAATAACAAGCAACAGCAGGTACTGCAGGCAGGCTAACATTGAAGAGTTACCCCCTCCATCTCCTCACCCTCCTCCTTCCCCTCCCCCACACTGCTGCAGGAGCAGCAGAGAAGGGGGGAAGAGAGGAGAGGAGGAGGGACGGCTGCATGTTGCCTCACACCCGCCACCCCGGTACCACTCCCCCTGCTCCCCCACATCCTCACACCCTCCCCCCCCAGCGGCAGCTGCAGCGGTGGGACTGAAAGAAGGAGGAGGGGAAGGGAGAGAGTTGACCCAACACTCCAACACCTGCCACCCCCATACCCTCCTCCCCACGGCTGCAGGGAGACAAAGTAGGAGGGGGGTGGGCGGGAAGAAAGCCGCAGAGCGGCTAAACGGTGTCGACGCAGATGGATCAGGGGCGGCTTCAGGGAGAGCAGGGGCGGAAAGGCCCGTCGCGTGCCAGTGCCACGGGGCGCACGACGAGTAGGATAAGAGAAAGGGCCCGATCGTGTGCCTCGGGGCGCACGACGAGCAGGGCACCATCGTGTGCCACGGGGCGCACGATGGGCAGGTTAAGGGCACCGTCGCGTGCCACGGGGCGCGCGACGGGCAGAAAAGGCGTCACACGCCAACCGGGGGCGGGACAAGGAAAAATCGTCACGCGCCCTAGGCGCGCGACCGGAAAGTCTTAGCAGCGGAAGTGTAGGGGGGGCTCACAGGCCAGGACGTAATTCGCTCCGATAACATGTCGAGAGTTGAACGAGAATGAGTTAAAATTAAGTAGGGCCTAGGCTTAGTAGCCTAGGCCCAAGTAGGATATCGAGCGGGTTTCTCCTAGGCGAGGTATCGAGAGAGTTGGAAGAGAAGTTGGGAGAATGGGTTTCACTATAGGTTTCAAGGAACATATAGCATAGGAAACAAAGTTGGTGCACCACCTACAAAGCACAATAACTACACTACAACTACAAGCAGTTATAAAATATGACAAGCATATTTCGACATGGAGCTGACTCTTGACTGTTCGAAGATTTTGGTACATCGGGTTCGACTTGACGCAGCTGGTCGCCACGTGGATTTCCTAGTCCGTTGGACTGATCGCACCAGTGAAGACGACACGTGAGTGCACTCCGATTCGCAGGACGTCTCGTCACTTGTTGTAATTACTTGGCGCGCAGGCGTGTTTCGGATGTTGACCGCCTTTCTTAGGGAGGGGGGGGGGGGGGGGGGGGGGGGGGGTGGGTAGTGTAAGGATTTTTCCCGAATTTCTTATCGGGGTTGATTGCTTCGCGTACAGCCCGCTTTTCGGAACTTCGCACGTTCGGCCGATTTCAACGCTGCCGAGGCTCCTCGCGTCGCCTTCGGCATTTCCCTAATCGCCAAACACCCAACCTCACTCGTCCGAGGTTCCCTCCTAGCTAGCCTAGTCCCTACATTAGTCTGTGCCTTCATTGTATTCTCAGATCAGTTAATCACAATCTCTTTATTCATGTACCTGCGCACTCTCTTTAAAACTCATAACACCAACGTCACTATAAGCTGGGTGCCGTTACCCGTGCTGGGTTACAAATGTATTGTTTCTGTAGGACTCAAAGATAGAGCGGTAAACGCTTGGTCAACTGGAGTACCACAGTTTCACTCCAAATCCAACAGAGATATTCTAGGTTGGGACTGAAGTTGGTTGACACCTTAGCCACCATGAGTTTCACGCGGAAAATCACTGGAAGGAATACGGACTTATGGAGGGTGCATTGTTGAGTGTGTATTCCTTGCGTTACAGAACTGTTACAGTACTGTATTGTTGATTGGCACAGCTGCACAGTACATCTGATTCCGAACGAGAGCATTTTGAAGTTTCCACGCAGGGACCATTAGATTCCTCCGCAGAATTCATGGCCAAGCATCCAGCTCTCCAGATTTTTCTTCGACGCCCAACCCGAACCTATGTTGGCATCTTCGCAACGTTTCCGAATTTCCTACGGACCTGAACTGTGTAAAGCCGCGTTTTTTCTGCAGTGTTTTTGCTTCCGTGGTGTCACAAGAACCACTGTCTTGTCACACTATTTTCGGATTGGATTCGTGATTGCTCTGGCAGCTGGAGCAAGAGCTGTCAGTCTGCCCATCCTTGTGGCTGGTGCTGAAAGTTCTCTCCAATTCTGCAGGTCTCATGGGCTGCTGGTGCCTTCAGATGCACCCATCAGGGCTGTCGATTGGTTTGGAGCCAGAACTTGAGAGGCTGAGGTGCCCCAAAAGTTGCCCTGAAATTTACGGGCTGAGAGCATACCTGGCACTTGAAATCAGGGCTACCAACGTTTTTGCACTTTCGCTAAGGAAACCCTACATCTCTTCGGGTCCGTCATCTTAGGCAAACTACTAAGAGCCAGCTAAGCAATAGGCTGAGGTAGAAACATGTCGATGGATTTGACAGGGATGGGAAAAGTAGGGGAGTGGCTGGGAGGAGGCGAGTGGACTGGTAAGGGGATGGAAGGGAGGGAGGTATTAGTATGGGACGATAAGGGCTAGCCGCGGGATCTGCACTTGAAATCCGGGTTAGGCCCACAACCAGCACTTTACGGGGACGGGCTGCCCTCGAATCCAACCCTTCAAATTCGGAAGCTGGGTCGAACCCAGCCCTTAATGTTCAGGGCATTAAGAAAATGTACCCTTGAATCGTCAGCCCTGGCACCCATCCATCCTGGAAAAATGGAATGCCAAAACACGCCTGACACGTCTCGGAGACGTATGGATGTTATCAAGCCTCCCATGGATGCTGCATGTAGTAACGGTTCCCACGCCCTAGCAATCTTAGCAGCAACAAAGAAGTGCGCTGTTTTTATCAGCGAGTCTCACTTGCGAGATTTCGTTGCTGTCATGGTAGTATCATAGTATCTGTATATTCCGCCGCTAGTACTCGACAGGTTTCCTGAGCTAGTTGCAGATTCATCTAGTTGTTTGTCGACCAAAGCTCTGAGCGAACGACAGGTTAGCCGCTGGCACTCTTGGGTTACAAGGACACTCAATCATTGCCATTAAGAACAACTCTCGAAAACTTGGTCTAAGAAGGAAAACCCAGTCAAGCTTGCACAACTTGTAGTGTTGGCCGCATCTGTGGTCATGCCAGCTTTGTGACAAAACATCCCTCTCTGTTTCGTAATAAAACCAACTCCATAGCTTTTTATTTCACTATGTTTAAAAAATGTTTTTTTTTTTTTTTTTTTAACTCTCCCAATCCTTTTTTTTCATGAAGGAACTCCGGCGAGGAGAACTTAAAGCGGAGGTTGGAGTAAAGCTTAACTCGTGCCACCACTGGTTGAGACGCCAGTAAATTCTAACGAGTCAGAGGCGCGGCTAGTAGTGTACTAGCTAGCCCTTTTGCTGCTCACAAGCATGTGGTGGTATTAGTTTCAAGCATTGCCGCATTCATTGCTTGAGGCATACCTTGTTAGAGTCTCTCGAGTGCTTTGAGAACATCCAATGATGTTCCTACCTCAATATGTTCTAACTCATTAGCTGCGTTAATGATACTCACTTTCTGATGCTCGTGGCTGTCTTGTTTTGGAGAAGAGCGAAGCGCTGAGACGTTGACCGGCGTGACTTGACAATGGACGGCGGTTAGACATACATCAGACATCAACTCGTCCATGGAGCAGCCTACAGACCACCAGCAAAAGATCACTGCTGAAAGTTTCAGGGGCTCAAGGGATCAGTATTGGGAGGATCCAAATTGTGTGGATCAGCAAACTCGGTGGATCAGGAGACCTGGCGACTCGAGAAGATAAGGTGACCTGACAATCTCTTGCAGAAACTCAATTCCGTGATGAGGAGAAGCAAATCGATTAGCAAAGATTTGATGGAAGACCAAGAATTGACGGAGCAAGCTATGGTGACTCATCCCAGGGAACCTCCTCAAGAGGATGCCGCGGCGATGATGTTCAACACTGCATTGGTTGATCCGGCATTGATTGACCCTGCATTGGTTGACCCAGCCTTGGTGTCTCTGGATCAAGCATTGCTGAATCAAGGCATGCTGAACCACCAACGCATGTTGAATCAAAGCGTGTTGAACCAATCGTTGCTGAACCAGACATTGGTGGATCAAGCATTGCTGAACCAGACATGGGTGGATCAAGCATTGCTGACTCAAGGCATGCTGGACCACCAACGCATGCTGAATCAAAGCGTTTTGAACCAGACATTGGTGGATCAAGCATTGCTGGGCCAACGCACGCAGGGCCAAGTGTTGCTGGATCAAGCAATTCTAAATCAAGCCTTGGCGGACCAAGGCATGCTGGACCAAGCCTTGCTGGACCAGGACATGCTTTCGAGCTTTGCCATGGATCCTTCGTGGATAAACATCCATCACATTCTCACACAATCGTACAATGCTGATGGAGCCGCTGCCGCCACAGCAGCAGCAGCAACGGGAGCAGGAGCAGCAGCAGCAGCAGGAGGAGGAGGAGGAGCAGCAGCAGGAGCAGGAGCAGCAGGATCAGCAGCAGCAGCAGCAGGTGTGTCAGAGGAAGGAAGGCAGCAAACGGCAGAAGCAGCAAGCACACCAAAAACCCCTGCTAGCAGCCATACCAGCCGCTATACCTACCCCAGAAGCAGCATCAGTCCCAGAAGCACCAGCAAGGCAACAAGCATGAGCCATCGCTTAAGCACTAGCAATCTCAAAAGCCATCTTAAACCCAGCAGCGCCACCGGTCCTTCTTTTGCCCAGATCCCTAGTAGGCCAGCCGCCATATCCCCTCATTCAACTGCCATCTCCCCAGATACAGCTGCTGTACCTCCTGCTTCAACTACTACATCTCCCAATGACGGACATTCACTGTCTGGAGAAGCTGCGGCAGTGCGTGGTGGTTCAGAAGGGGCAGTGACAGGGGCAATGCGACTGGCTGGGGTAGCCGCAAGACTAGAAACTTCAGTCAACACTGCGGCAGCTGTAGAAGATGCGACCTTAAGGGATGTGACATTAGCGGATATTGAGGCAGGCTTTGTGACAGGAGATATGGCAGCAGAAAGTGTGACAATAGGTGGTTTTAGAGCACCTGCAGTTTCCCCAGTGAAGATGAGGAGAAAGCAGCAGAGGCATCATCCGTATGAGGAGAAAGTATCTGCTGCTGCTGCTGCTGCTCCTGGTTATGCAAGTTTTTCCCCTTATGCGCCTCGCAATGTTGCTTCTGCTTCTCCTGATTCTTCTTCCTCGTCTGCTTCTGCAGCTTCTACTTCCTCCCTTGCCGCTTCTATGTCTGGCTCTGTCACCGCTACTTCAGGTCACAGCCCCTCTGCCGATGCCCCTGCTGCTGTTGCTGCTGCTGAGATGAATCAACCAATGGTTGCCGCCGTCACTGCCGCTTCACACCAAAGCCCCACCATTGGTGCCCCTGGTGCTGCTTCCGCTGGCGCAGACGCTGCTGCCGCCACTGCTGCTGCTGCTGCTGCTGCTGCTGCTGCTGCTGCTGCTGCTGCTGCTGCTGCTGCTGCTGCTGCTGCTGCTGCTGCTGCTGCTGCTGCTGCTGCTGCTGCTGCTGCTGCTGCTGCTGCTGCTGCTGCTGCTGCTGCTGCTACTGCTGGTGCTGCTGCTGCCTCTGCCACGTTTGCATCTCCTGGAACATCAACGGGCACAGCACTGCATTTAAAAGCCGAGGAGAGAAATGCAGTGGTAATGCCGCAGTACCAGAAACAGCAGCAGGAGCCGGAGCCACCGCCATTGCAGCAGACGGAAGAGGAAGGGGAGGAGGAGGAGCAGCAGCAGCAGCAGCAGCAGGACTTGCGTCAGGCAGCAGTATCTGCACCACCGGGAGCACGGAGAGCCTCTCCCATGTCTTGGATGGTGCTGGAGATGGGGAGGGGTTCGATGGGGTGTGAAGAGGTTCTCCTGTATGCGTGCCGGTTCTGCAGCAAAAGATTCGCACAGCCGCAGGGGCTGGGAGGCCACATGAACGCCCACCGGCGAGGTGAGAAGAACAGATCGAGAACCCTAAACCCCGAATCTTTGTGCAGGAGCATGCCGTTTGGGAGACCTGTATGAGACCTGTGGTAATAAGTCTGGTCACCTGTAGCAGCAAGTGCGTGCATACATTCCATCAATGTGCTGCTCCCTTGTGCGGGTGTGGTAGATTCATTCCTCTCACTTGTGCGTGTGGTGTTGCGATCCATTGATGTGCTACGTAACACCTCTCCACCTCTTCCTTACGAACACTCTCTCCGCGTTTCCCTTTACACTGCCTCCGGTCAGAGAGGCAGAGTCCCATCAGCAGGCAGCCCTGTCGCCAGGCGGATCCGCAGGTAACCAGGCCCACAGGCAGATCTACCCGGGGCTCTCTCGCTGCCTGCAGCCCAATCGCTGCCTCAACTCTTCTCACCTTTACACACTCTCTCCCTGTCTCCCCTCACATGCCCCGCAGACTGAGAGGCAGAGACTCAACAGCAGGCAACCATGCCATCACAGTCCCCAGGCGCACAGGCAGATCCACCCGGGCTCTCTCACCATCTTTTTCCTGCACACTCTCTCCTTGTCTCCCTTGCACACTCTCTCCTTGTCTCCCTTGCACACTCTCTCCTTGTCTCCCTTGCACACTCTCTCCTTGTCTCGCCTGCATACTCTCTCCTTGTCTCACCTGCACACTCTCTCCTTGTCTCGCCTGCACACTCTCTCCTTGTCTCCCCTCACACCGACTAACAGATCGAGAGGCAGAGGCCGTTCAGCAGGCAACCCTTCCACCACAGCCCCCAGGCGTACGGGCGGATCCACCCGGGGTTCTCTCACCACACGCAGCCCAGTCAGCGCCTGCATCACAGTCGCTCACTGCAGCACAGTCGCTCACTGCAGCACAGTCGCTCACTGCAGCACAGTCGCTCACTGCAGCACAGTCGCTCACTGCAGCACAATTGCTCACTGCAGCACAATCACTGCCTCCAGCACAACCGCTCACTGCAGCACAGCAGCTGACTGCAGCAGAGTTGTTTGGGATGCGGTACCAACTCACTGCTGCTGCTGGTGCTGCTGCTGCTGCTGCTGCTTATTCTGGTGCGGGTTCTGTTTCATTGGTTCCGGGTGCTGCTAGTGCTGCTGCTGGTGCTGGTGCTGATGGTGATGGTCCTGCTGCTGCTGCTGGTGGTGCCTCACGTATGCACCCATTGCGCAGTTTCAGCCACGATAATATAAAATTTTCTAGCTCAGCTGCCTCTGCTCCTACTGGTGCGGCTAGTACAGGTAGTCCTGGTGCTTCACATATGCACCCACTATTCAGTTTCAGCCATGATGGGATCGACTTTTCCAGCCCAGCTGCCTCTGCTCTTGCTGGTGCAACTAGCACAGATGCTGCAGTTGCTTCACGTATGCACCCACTGTTCAGTTTCAGCCATGATGCCAAGGCCTTTTCCAGTGTCACGGCTGCTGCTGCTTACTCTGGTGCTGCTGGTTCTAGTGCGTTGCTCCCTCGTGCTGCTGCTGGTGCTGATGGCGCTGGTGCTTCACGTTGGCATCCTCTATTCAGTCTCAGCCATGATGAAAAGGCGTTTTCCACTCTCATGGCTGCTGATTCCTCTGGTGCTGCTGGTGCTGCTGGCGCTGCTGTATCGCTCCCTCGTGCTGCTGCTGCTGGTGGTGGTGGTGCTGGTGGCGCTGGCGCTTCACACACGTACCCCGTGCATAGTTTCAGCCATGATGCAATGGCTCATTCTAGCTCCACTGGTGCAACTGGTGCTGGTGTGAGCGGTGCTGCTCGTCCTACAGGTGGTTATCCTGCCTCTACTGGTTTCAGTGGTGGCTCTTCTTACCCACATGGTGACTCTGCTGCTTTACTCCCCAGCGCTGCTGCTGCTGCTGCTGCTGCCGGGGCTTCTTCCTTCAACCTCACAGCCCACCTTCCATTCAGGTGGTCTGGCAAAGCAGGGTCATTCCCAGGAGCAGACCTATCAGGAAGAACAGGCAGAGTGGAGACTGCTTCTGCTGATGCTGCTGTCTCCTCTGCATTTGCTGCTGCAGCAGCAGCAGCAGCTGCTGCGTCTGGTGCTGTTGTTCAAACTGCTGCTGGCTTGGGTGGTGATGTTCGGTCCTCTCATGCCAGATTAGGCTCGGCAATGGAAGCTGGTTTGGTGGCTGCCAGCTCTGGTTTGGCAACTGGGCCTGGATTCGCTGTGGGTTCTGGTTTTAGCACTGGCGCTGCTGCAGGAACGGCATCAAGGGCGGGGTACAGTGCCAGTTCGGGTGTGAGGCTTGGAGCAGGTGCTGCTAGTGCAGATCATTACCGGTTTTCACCGGTGCTGGTGGGTGCAGAGAAGCGTGTGAGTCAGTTGAATCAGGAAGTATTTTCAAGAGGAGGAGGAGGAGGAGGAGGAGGAGGAGGAGGAGGAGGAGGAGGAGGAGGAGGAGGAGGAGGAGGAGGAGGAGGAGGAGGAGGAGGAGGAGGAGGAGGGGAAGGAGTAGGAACAGTTGCACGCAACCAAGTGTTTGTTCCAGGATCCAAGCCTTCTGGTATGCCCGTTCCTTCACCAAATCTAGCCAGATATCCACCTTTCCTGGCCGGACCTTCGTCTCAGGCATGGTCCCATCAAACCCCGAGTGCAAGCCTGGCAACGTATCTTGGCATTGAGCCTTCAGCAACCTCTGTGCAAGATTTTGAAGGTTCTATATGGCAAGGCCATAGAGCAGGATCTTTCAGTGTAGGCTTAAGCGATGTGAGTATACGTAGGACAGTTTGTGACAAAGTCACCGCTGGGGAGAAGTTACAGGAAGAACAAGGGGTAGAGCTTGAATTGGAGCAGCTTCAAAGGGAGTGGAGGATTCAGCTGACTGAGAGGAGAAGGATAATGCAGTTGCAAGGAGAGGGTAGGGAGGGGAGGGAGGATGGTGGGAGAAAGATGATGGATGTGGAGTTGCATGAAAACCTAAATCTGGATGATCAAGACGAAGATATTGGGAAAGGAAGGTGACATAGATGATTAGGAGAGTCAGAAAAAAATGGCATAGATAATAGATAAAAAAAAAGCAAGCATCATATTAGCAGAGGTTCTTCATCATTTTTAGCACAGCTGATTGTGTCTATGATATATATCTACAAGAATCGATGATAATAACATCTGGTGAGAGCTATTGTATTGATAAATGTGATGCTAAACCTGTTTTGGCTACATTTTCATGGACCGTTAGGTTAGATGCAGGAATTCCTAACTTTCACAAATTGGCTCTTGGTTATTTCGACTACCGTATACTCCCGGACAAAACACCCCCCCATAATTGTACACCCCCGGGTAGCTTGTGCGGGGTGGATGTTATGATAGACCTCGTTTCTACTACCGTATGGCCCCGGATAGTAGCGCATATGCGCTTATAAAAAATCATTTTTTTTAGGGGGGGCGCTTGTAATTGAGTAACGGCCATAAGCGCCGGCGCTTATATAATGAAAGATGAGAAATTATATATTTAGAGCACCAAATTGTTCATTTTCTTCTTGCCATTTCCACCGAGTCGAAATGTTATAGCGTCGCAAAGCAGAATCTCGCGCAAGCGATATTCTGGGTTCACACAAAGGCGAAGACACGTCATGCCAGCACATCCTGACTGGACGCGAAGCCAGTCAGGTCTTCGCGAGTCAAACGTGTCAGAACATATCTATAGCTTATACTATTGTGTAGGCTGTAGTGGGGTATCCCATAGGGGGTACAACCCAGTTAGGGTTTCATATTTGTACTGCCTTCATTCATAGTTCACACATCCTGTTCACTTGTTTCACATGGTATAGAGCGGGTCCTTCCTAAGGACCGTTTTTTTAGGGCCCACCGAAGCGCGCCCCGAGGCGCGCATTTTTTTTAGCGACCCCTCGGGTCGCCATTTCCCTCGCGGCCCCGCCGCCTGCTTGACGCGGCCCCGCCGCCTCCACTGACGCGGCCCCGCCGCCGGCTCTGACGCGGCCCTGCCGCCCGCTACGTCGCGGCCCCGCCGCCTGCTTGACGCGGCCCCGCCGCCTCCACTGACGCGGCCCCGCCGCCGGCTCTGACGCGGCCCTGCCGCCCGCTACGTCGCGGCCCCGCCGCCTGCTTGACGCGGCCCCGCCGCCTCCACTGACGCGGCCCCGCCGCCGGCTCTGACGCGGCCCTGCCGGCCCGCCGCTGCACCTGACGGCCCCGCCGCTGCACCTGCCGGCCCGCCGCTGCACCCTACGGCCCGCCGCTGCACCCTACGGCCCGCCGCCTCACCTGACGGCCCCGCCGCTGCGCCTGCCGGCCCGCCGCTGCACCCTACGGCCCGCCGCTGCACCCAGTGGCCCGCCGCTTCACCTGACGGCCCAGCCGCTGCACCTGCCGGCCCGCCGCTGCACCCTACGGCCCGCCGCTGCACCCAGCGGCCCGCCGCTTCACCTAACGGCCCCGCCGCTGCACCTACCGGCCCGTCGCTGCACCCTACAGCCCCGCCGCTGCTCCTGCCGGCCCGCCGCTGCACCGGTCGACCCGCCGCTGCACCTGCCGGCCCGCCGCTGCACCTGACGGCCCCGCCCCTGCATCTCCCGGCCGAGCCGCCCCAGCAGCAGAGCCGCCCCAGCAGCCGAGCCGCCCCAGCCGCCGAGCCGCCCCAGCAGCCGAGCCGCCCCAGCAGCCGAGCCGCCCGAGCAGCCGAGCCGCCCCAGCTGCAGTGCCGCCCGAGCCGCCCGAGCCGCCGAGTCGCCCGAGCCGCCCAGCAGTCGAGCCGCCCGAGCCCTCCCTGCACTGCCCTGTCTGGTGAGCACTGAGCTTTACTCTGCGCACTGCCCTCTCTCTACTGCTGTTATGGCTACCCCCAGTGTCCTCGCCTTTGACGCTGAGGGCAGAGCCATTGACTTTGACGTGTGGGTAGACGACCTACTGCTTTTCCTACAGTGCGACAGAGCTGACGGACTCTCGCTCTTTGATCTCACTTCTGGTGCCTCTCCCGCCCCTGCTGCTACTGAGGATGCCACTGTTCGCTCACAGTGGGCCACACGCGATGCTGCTGCACGTCTTGCTGTGCGTCGCCACCTCCCTCCCGCTGAGCGTGCGCACTTTGGGTCGTACAAGAGTGCTAAGACCTTGTACGACGCCGTTATCGCACGCTACTCCACCCCTGCCACTGCTGCACTGAGCCGCCTCATGCTACCGTACCTCTTTCCCGACCTTGCTGCTTTTGCCACAATCGCCGACCTCATTACCCACCTGCGCACTAGTGACGCTCGTTTCCGCGCTGCACTTCCTGCTGAGTTCTGCGCCAAGAACCCCCCCCCCAGTACTTCACTCTCTACTACATTGTCACCCGCCTCCCTGACTCCCTTCGCGGAGTCAGGGACGACCTACTCGCAGTCTGCCCCACCACTCTCACTGTCGAGATCCTCGAGAAGTCCCTCCTCGCAGCCGAGAAGAGCATTCTCGCTGTAGGGGCCTCTCGTGGTGACCCGCGCGCCCCCATATTTGAGGGGTGTTCCCCCTCCCCCCTCCTGCCCTCTGTCGCCTCTGCTGCTACGGCCGACCTTGTTGGTTTTGAGTCGGTCGGAGCGGCGTCTGCCCCCAGCGGGAGACGTCGCTCTGGCAAGAGCAAGGGGGGCAGGGGCGGTGGTGGAGGCGGCGGGGGCGGTGGAGGCGGAGGTAGAGGCAGCGGCGGAGGTGAGGGTGGTAGCGGGAGTAGTGGCGGGAGTGGAGGTGTCGGCGGAGGCAGTGGAGGCGGGGGCGGCAGCGGCGGTGGTAGTGGGGGTGGAGGCGGAGGCGGCGGTGGCGGCGGCGACCGTGGGAGTGGCGGTGGCGGTGGAGGTGGTGGCGGCGGCGGCGGAGGAGGCGGCGGAGGTCGTGGCGCGCCGAGGAGGAGTGGCTCCGGTGGTGGTCAGCGCCAGCAGCAGCAACGTGGTCAGGAGACCCTCTCCCCGCAGCAGCTCCGTGAGTGGTACTCTGCGCGTCAGCGGGGTGGGGGTACTGGTCCGTGCACTTATGTCCTGCGCACTGGCGACCGTGCGGGTGAGCAGTGTGGTGGTCCACACTCCGCCCAGCGTTGCTTCGGCCGCCTGACTGACGCTTGGCGCCGCCAGTTTCCTGACGCCTCTGAGATCCCTCGCTGGGACCAGCTGTCTAGGGCTGGAGTAGCTATCTTTGATCTTGACTTTGATGCTATTCTTGCTGCTATGTATGCTGTGACTATTAGTGAGGAGGGTGACTGTTACCGGTGTTTCCCGCCCGACCCGGGCATTGGTACTGCGGCTCTAGGTGCTGTTGAGGCTGCTGCTCCAGGTGCTGGTGAGGCTGCTGCTCTAGGTGCCAGTGAGTCTGAGTCCTCAGGTGCTGGTGAGTCTGCTCTCTCAGGTACTGTGTCGACTTCACCCTCTCTCACTTTCACTCTTGACTCCGGGGCGTCTCGCTCCTTCTTTCGAGACCGCACCACACTCACGCCGCTTAGTCGGCCAGTGGCGGTCTCCTTGGCAGACCCCTCTGGGGGTCCTGTTCTGGCTCGCTACTCCACTGTCCTGCCGTGCCCTGCGGTCCCGTCTGGCGCCCTGTCCGGTCTCTACCTCCCCTCGTTCTCTACGAACTTGGTGGCGGGTGCTGACCTACAGGATGCAGGGGTTGAACAGTTCACCCCTGCGCGCCGACGAGTCACCCACTGCACGGACGCGGACACGGGTCGACACCTGACCACATTCACACGTGGTCCAGGGTCGAGCCTGTACACACTCACTCTTCCGTCTCCTTCTCCTGCGTCTGGTCGGGTAGCTGCGTCGGGTCAGGTGTTTGCTGCAGCGTCCAGGTCTGGTCCTGAGTCTGCCCCCTGCTCGTGTCGCCTCCTGTCCCACGAGACCCTCCTGTGGCACCACAGGATGGGTCACCCCTCCCTGCCTCGTCTCCGGGGCATGGCCTCTCGCCTTCTTGTCTCTGGCCTTCCCCGGTCCCTCCCTCCCCTTCCTCCGGGGCCTGGCCCTCCCTGTGTCCCCTGTGTCGAGGGTCGCCTGCGGGCTACCCCTCACTCCTCCCCGTTCCCTCCGACGGAGGCCCCGATGCAGACGCTTCACATGGACGTGTGGGGCCCAGCCCGCGTCCGTGGACAGGGTCACGAGCGCTACTTCCTGCTGGTGGTTAACGACTACTCGCGTTACACCACAGTCTTCCCCTTGCGCAGCAAGGGTGAGGTCACTGAGGTGTTGATCGACTGGATCCGCGCAGCTCGTCTCCAGCTCAGGCGGAGCTTCGGCTCGGACTTTCCTGTTCTGCGTCTGCATTCGGACAGAGGCGGAGAGTTCTCCTCCGGCCTTCTGCGAGCCTATTGTCGGGCACGAGGCATCCGCCAGACCTTCACGCTTCCGGACTCTCCACAGCAGAATGGGATTGCTGAGCGCCGCATCGGCATTGTCATGGACGTCGCCCGTACGTCCATGGTGCATGCGGCTGCCCCCCATTTTCTGTGGCCGTTTGCGGTTCGGTACGCCGCGCATCAGATCA